AATGAAAGATATTTGTAAATTGCAGTACTACTTAATTATAATCCATGATTTTTCACATACTTAAACCGCGTGTGTAGTCGGCTGGTTTGACGCCCTTGGTTTTCATGCGATGCAACAATTGCGCCGATGTCAACTTCTTTACTAAGTATACCGCAATACAGTAGCCACGCGTATAATCCGGACACCATTGTACAGTGATTGTATTGGTTACTGTAGGCGAAAGCTTTACGTTAGCTGTTACATTAACGGGACGCGGTGGTCGTTTTGGTTCAACATTCGGTCTGTTTGTTGGAATGACATTCTGTGAAGAAATAAAGATTTTTTTATTGCTGTTGTTAGAAACTGTAGATTTATTTGACAACTGAAAAGAAGTTCATCTTCACCTAACATAGTTGTGGAAATTATTGTTAATAAAATAAAATAAAATTTAGTGAGATGAAATGAAATGCTCGCAATTTTCGCATTCTAAGCGGGTTGAGCGATTTTGATAAAATTCTGTTTTGATTACCAGGCATCATGGCTTCGGGCTCAACTTAAATATTTGGAAATTTGGATTATTCAGTGGTGGACAAATAAAAGGTACACGATTTTTTTTTTAATTTTTGATTTGTTTTTCTTTCGTTTATTTAATATTTATTATTTTTTTAATAAAATTATAGCTCATTATCTAACAAGAACCATATAAATTCATGTTTCAAACTTTGTGCAAAAATTATAAAAATTCTCCAAAATTGCATCTAAATTTTAAACTTTTATATCAGATTTTTGAGAATAGGTTTGAGTATGTAGTTTTATAGCAAATTAAAAGAATGAAGTGTAAGTTTTAAGTTGCTAAAAAATCTCGTTGATTTTTGGCAATTTTTTTAATACATTTTTCTTCCGTACAAAGTGTGTTCAACAATTTTTTTGTATAGGAAAAAGTGTGTAATACATTCAGAATAAAACTTATTACAAATCAAAGCGATTTTTCAGGAACTTCAAACTTGCACTTAAGTCTACTAAAACTTAATGGGCTAATGGGCTGTATACTCAAAAAGAATTGCAGAGAAATACTGAAAACTAAAAACGATTGCTAATCTTTGTCCAGTCACGGCAAAATTCCAAGACAATTTAAATACGATAAAAGGAGTAATCTATGCGCCTTGGCTAAACTTTGTAAATTAGGAAGAAATTATGCAGCAAATAAAAAAAAAATAGCAGAAATTAGCAGAACTAAAAAAGGCTCACTTCATTCAACCAGGTCGGATGTGCCCGGTTGCACATTGACTACCATGTGGCATCGAACTTGTCAACCCACAACCACCTCTCTATATTGTCAATAGACTTTGAAAAAGCCTTCGATCATTTTAAAGAAATTTCAATAATTGGGGTAGGACCCAAAATTTTTAATTTTGTCAAGTCATTTCTACTAAACCGCAAAATTAGAGTCAAGGTAAGCGGCGTCTACTCCAGTCCAGCTTATACCCATTAACAAATGGCTTTCCCCAAGGCTCACCACTTTCGGTCTAACTCTTTTCAATCGCGTTTAACGAAATCATCAATATAATCCAAAGACATAAACTGGTTAACCACTGTGCTTATGCTGACTATTCTCACTATGCAATGCCAAGGACGGGAAAATAAAAAAAAACTGCACATACATATGTAAAAAACAAAATGTTATTCGCAAAACCACTCAATACAACTAAACCAAGTAACTATCGAAAACGTCGACGAACTCCGCATATTAGGCCTTATATTCACACAAAACTACTCTTGGAAGAAATTTCTCCTAAAACTAAAGAAAGACCTTCTTTCTACCCAGAATCAATTTACTATGGTACCTATCATAGATGTTCACATAAACACACTAATACATAACACTAAAGCAATAATCCTGAGCAAAATTGACTACGGTGTTTACTGTATATGACTGCTCATCCAATACAACTCTAAACATAATAAAACCCATATATGTACAGCAAAGCTATCAGAAGCAGCCTATTTGCATTCTGCACCACCCCTTTAAAAAATCTCCATATTGAATAGGAGCTTGCCTACACTAGAAGAAGGAATCCACGAGGTCAACACCAAACTTATTCCAAAAACTATATTTTTGCACACGCCAGTTATAAAAGAAGATGTTAAAAAACTGATAGCATCCAAACGAAGATACAATAGGTTTGTTTTTTACATTTTAGGGCTATTTTCGGGCAAATAATGTGCATAAACTGCCCAAAACCACGGAAGCACAAAAAACCCATTTTCGTGCCCGAAACTAAACGTCAAATCGCAAAAAATTCTAAATTTAAGATTTGAGATAACGTGAAATTAATAGTTCACTTGAAGTTGTTCCACAAAATTTGGGTACTTTCGGGCACTTTTGGGCCACCGGCACTTTTGGGTTCCCGCAACAAACATCGATGCTAAAAAACGTCGGCTATAAAAACGATATATCGATGTTTTACCGATGTTTTAATATCACATCTACTACACGAAATAAAATGTAGCATGAAATATTTTTTTAAACTCGAAAGAACTAGATTTACATATACCCTACAAACCAAACTTTATACAAATCTTTGAAAAATTCAACACATTTTTATCTTAACTTATCTGAATTTTTAGAAAAACCCTCTAAAAAATCGCCCTGATTTTTAACGAATTGGTTTTGCTGAAGAAGTTTTGCACATTTTGCCATATACAAGAAAATTTCTTGTAGAATTAAATGCGAAAGCCCATTTGCAAACAAAATTAAAAAAAATCAACGCCAGTTATTATATATTGCACCTTATATATGAAAAAAACGCAAAAGCCGCCAGAGAAAAATCGTTAAAAATCAAAGCGATATTTAGCTGCTTAAAACTTGCACCGTTTTATTAGAATTACATACCCAGACTTTTTTAAAATTTTCTGACTAAAAAGTTCAAAATTTATTTATTTCTTAATTTATTTATTAAAAAAAACAAAAAAATTTACTTAAAAAACGACAAAAATCAGCACGCACTCACGTTTGATCGCCAGTGTATGTACGTATGTATATATAGAAACTTCCTTCAAATATTTCAATACAAGTATAAGTATGTTGCTATCAGTGTTGACAATATGTTAATCTGATTAATGATTAAAAATTAACGATTAAAATGTTAATCGCGATTGAAGATTAAAATTAATTAATCGTAATCAACTGAACGATTAATGATTAAATTTTTGTAATCGTAATCGCCGCCAGCGATCATCATCGTTAATCATTAATCGTTAATCCATTTAAAAAGAAAATCTGATTAAGTTGTCTAGTTTGTCCGAATTTGAAACCAAACACCAGTAATCTAAAAAAAAATTATAATTATTGTTATTAGTAATACATACACTGGGAACTTTTACAACCCAGCACACATGTGCAGAGGGATATTAAAACCTAGTTTGTAAAACGTCTGTTGGAATAGATCTTAATGAAAATGCACACGACATTGCTTAGATTGATTAGGAAAACCGACTTAGCCATACCCGATTAACTGGCCTTGTGTGCACAGGAAAATTCCATCGTAAATTAATTAATTACCAAACCTACTTAATCAAATTAAGGGTTAATGATTAAAAATTAATTTTTTAATTGTGGTTACGATTAACTGTTTAATCAGATTAAAATTAATCATGATTAACTGTAATCGGATTAAATTTAATCAAGTTAAGTAATTGATTAAAAAATCAATCGATTAGTGCCAACACTGGTTGCTATGTATAATTATGATGTATCTTAAATATGTAAATCTTATTTATTTAAATATGAATAAACATTTTGAAAGGAGTTCTGAAAAGAAGCTTTGATAATCTAGCCCCCAAAAGCTTGCTTCTATCCAGAATGATGGTTGCTCCCAGCTTCCGAGAACAAGCGCTCGCTTGCCACTGGTCGTTCGGCATAATACGAATGGAGTGACTGAAGGATGTCGATGTTTTTCACTTTTCTAGACGATGTATCGTCCAGAAAAACATCGACGTTAACAGCGATGTTAACATCGATATTTTTGGAGGAAACATCGATACATCGTTTGCATCCCTATATCACACTGTATACCCACAAAAAAGACAACACCTCCAATCCAATATTTAAGCAACTTTTCCTCTTGAAGGATCAATACTTATTAAAATAACGGCTGATTTATCGTCTTTACGGACGAATCAAAAACGCAAGACAATGTTGCTTTCAGCGTACCATCCGAAGATGGCATTGTTTTAAGTTTAAAAGGCATGTTCCCATACTTTTCAATATTTTCGGTAGAAGCAGAAGCAATACATGAAACCAATACTATCTCTTCAGAAAAAGGCAAAACCCATAATATGTTCCGACAGTTATCAGTGATCCAAGCTGTTAGTAGTCCCACCTGCAACAGTTGGGAAACTATTAACCAGATAAGAGACCTTCTAATTAAAAATAGCATCTCACTAAAGCTACTGTGGGCCCCAGGACATACAGATATCGAAGGAAACACATATGCCGACAACGCAGCCAAATTTACTTGCAATGCACCAATCATATTCAGCCCTAAAACCGAAAGACTCGACATAAAAGGACACATAAATTCATGCATTATAGACAAACGCCGACAATCACTAAAAATATAAAACTACAAACATGAGCACTACTCCAACATCAACACGACTTTTCGCGCCTTCGCTTAGGACACACAACAGACCCACGAATATATGTATCTTAAATAAAATGATAGTTTAAAAAACTAAAAACTCGCTACGTAATTTGAGAATGGAAATCGCAGCATCTTTTAGGCGCATCATTATTACATAGTTACATCCCAAGGTAATAAAAGCGAGGTAGAAAAGAAAATCACCCCATTTGCACTAGCTGTAACACAAACCAGACATTGGACCACATCCTCCACAAATGTGAAAGGCACGACAACAAAAAAAAATAACTATCTAAACGACATCCTTGCCATTCCCAGTTACTCAAACATCGAAAAAATAGCCAAATTCATCAAAGCGAAATGATAATCTATCAGCAGCCAACGCTCAAACATACTTTTTTCATACTAATATTGAGGGGTTAGTGTTTGGTAAATATTAAATAGCCATTTCTATAGATATACTAATTATATTAAGATTAAAAAATTTATTTACACTGAAAATATCTTTCAACAGATAATGCCCCCGAAATCACGAGAAAACTCTTATCTAAATTACAAAATAAAGAATAGGCTCCCACGTGGGTGCTCAGCAAGCTATACTAGAAATAAAGAAAATCCAAACTAAAACCAATACATATAATAAATAACACACTTACCGGCAGTTGACACAGCTTATTGTTAACTTTTACACTAACACTGGGCGGGAAGCAATCCTCTTGTTCGCATGAAGTTTCTAATAGACAAAAACGTAGCTGAACCTGTATTGCATGCTCAATTTTATTACTGTTCCGTATGTCACGATTTGATGCAATTTCTGTGGCTTGCTGTGGTGT